CGGCTAGTGAGAGGATGTATTTAAGATGTATGACGAAGTGGAATCAACCACTGAGTGGAGCATGTTCGAGATTTTTGATGAACCGGAATCGCCAAGCAAAGGGGGGTGGTTTGAAATACACGACGAAACGGAATCGCCAAAGGAGGGGTGGAGGGGAAGCCCTCTTAAGCTTTCTGAAGAACCGCAATCGCCAGATGATGGGGGGGTCGCCACATCAGTGGGGGTGTGTTCAGAATACATGATGAAACGGAATCGACAAAGGAGGGGCCGTGTTCAAGATAAATGATGAACCAACATCACCAAGTGAGGGGCCTTGTTCCAGACTTGTGATGAACTGGAATCGCCACACGGGGGAAAGGAGTGTTGGAGATGTTTGATGAAAGGAATCACTTACTGAAATGTCGTACTTGAGACATATGATGAACCGGAATTGCCTAGTGAGGACGTGTTTAAGCTTTTGACTTATGATGAATCGGAATCGCCAGATGGGGAGGCGCGTTTAAGACACATTATGAATCGGAACCGGCTAGTAAGCGGACGAGTTTACAATATATGATGAACCTGGCCCGAATCTATGTAAAGGAACGGGTGTGTTGAAGATGCATGATGAACCAAAGACAAAATCATGGGGTATGTTTTAAAACACATGATGACCAGGACTCGGCAAATGAGCTAAACCCTAACCCTAAACCCTAAACCCTAAACCCTAAACCCCTAAACCACAATGAGGGGGCATCCCGGGGGTTGCAGTTTAAGGCTCAGCACCCAGAAGCCGCCTTTCGCAAGCTGTTCAACAACTGATCTGAAATGGCGTAACAATGACTGAAACCTTCTGATTCAGAAGTCTGCGCAGTACAAAATGCGAACTACGAAAACGGCTGAACATGCTTGATGTGCAACTGCAGCAGAACACCACCTGCATAATGACACTCCTTCATCCCTGTCAACACAAGGCGAGGAGCAATGCTGTCGCTCTGGTCGAAGGAATCGATATACATGCGTCGTAGCGACACACGACTCTGTTACTGTGTCGGTAGGCGCGGCTTTATGGTTTCGGATAGCGTTACAACTACTAATGATGAGGCTGACAATTTACTTGCTTGAAAGGTCTGGCTTTGATGGTGGGCTGTACGCCGGCGATGTTGCGTTCATAAGGGCTCATTTTCATGCATACACTGCTTGCAGTGTGCACCAAGGAGCGTGTGTTCTAAGTTTTGTTTGACTGGAGATTCCGTGCTCAATAAATAACGTGCTTCATGCAACTGGGTCTGTGTTCGTCGGCATGCACACCACTGTCGTCGACATGCCAACTTTGTGCAGTGATCAGCTGCGAGGATCAATGCGTAGTTTCATACCATACGGAATGTTGCTCTTTGACTTAATGGTTAAAAAGCTTCAACGGGAGGACGAGTGGGGAGTAGAGACCGGCGAAGAGCAGAAGCAAACCTGCTGTTCGTTTTCGGCGTTGCTCGTTTCTAAAGCGGTCATTTTCTTGATTTAAGCTGCAACGCAACCTTTCCTTTGATCACTTTGTCTGGTATAGATTTCTTTGCGTGCCCCAGGCGTGCTGAAGTTTTCTTTTCTGTGCAATGGGCATCTAAGAGAAATGGAATGTTTTTTTGTGCAAAAACTCAGCATTGGCACAAAGACAAAAGCAACACTGTGAAAAACGAGACGATGTGCAAAGACAACCAGCAACATTGACGTGACGCCGCGCAATTCCGATGCGTGTTTACAAAATCTAATTCAAGACCTAGCAAATCATGCAAATTGTCACGAAGCTTACCAGCAATCAAGAGAGGCCTTTTCGAAGTCGAGGCAAGAAGTTTGGATCAGCTTCCTTCTCGACTGCACTTAGACACCTGAGAGGCTGTTCCGGCCCACGGACTTCTCTAGCTTCTTCCAGACAGATGTGAACTTCTTTCCAGCAACGAAGAAAATTCTTCGAGCTGGAGCAGAGGAAGAGATAGGGCTAGGGACAGGATGGGGATCGAGATAAAGAAAGGGATCGGAATAGGGCAGCAGGGATGGGGATAAGCATGGGGATAGGGGTAAGGGTAGGGATAGGGATAGGGGGAGCAGAGGAAGAGATGCGGAAAAAAAGATAGAGCAAGAGATTGATTCAGGGATCTATCAAAGGTAATGAAAAATAAAAGATGAAACTAAACAAAAAAACAAAAAGAATAAAAACAATTTGAGCCAGAAATGCCTTGGCTGTGGGTTAAACAAAGAAAACTGTGCCACAGGCAACAGATATCAGCAAAATCGAAGGTCAAGACGACGTCGACAAGAGTTTGCAAAGAGAGATGCAAATTTCGCCATCAGTCAAACTTCAGGGAGACAACAGACCCTTCTTTTCCATTGCCAACGCCTGACCGCGGCCGTTCAACGGTCGTTTTGTCCTCCTAAGCCTAGGAACTGCGAACAACGGCATCGGCCTGGAAAGCTTCTTTTCGGTGGCTCTCCTCCGCACGTTATGACCTCATCCCGGGTCTGCGTATCTCATCGCGAAAGCGCGAGTGCCACGTGTGACGAGAGTTTCACAGCTCTGCGGCCACCCACCTGCTTAATTCACACAGTGGCCATTGGCTCCAACCTTTCGTGGTGGATGCTGAACGCAGGTTGGCCCAGGTCGCGGGACGAACACGCCCACCACACATCAGGTCCTAGAACAGTTACTGCAAGCGCATCGTCACCTTGCACGTCCGCTTGCGCTTGTGGCGCATGGAGCAACAAGTTTTGGTGGACATGGCAAAGCGACCACATCCGCTTTCCCAAGAGTCTTCCGCCTCCCAGCTTCTTCCGTCCCAACAGACTCTCAAAACGAACCAACAGGGCAAGCACCCTACAAGGACCCCAAGATTCGAAGCCCTGTCCGAACTCTGTGGCCGTGGGAACATCGTCCTGCCGGGTCGGCCCACGCTGAACTGTAACAAACGAACTGCCGAATCCTTATGTAACGAAACGTACTGCAGAGTCTTGCTGCCTGTTTCTGGCCCATTCTTGGCAGTGACAAATCGTATTGCTGGTCTTACCCATTCTCGAGCGTATCAAAACGTACTGCTGAGTCTTGGTGGCTTTTTCTGGCCCACTCCTGGCGTTACACATCGTGCCGCCGAGTCTTCGCGGCCACAGACTGGGAGCAACACCTTCCCCAATCCTTCCCAGTTTATCTGAATCCCATGGCCTGGACCAGTGTGTCATCGGATGCGGTGGGTCACTGCCAGCCCTGAACAGTGTGCCAATACGACTCAAAGAACACCAGGGTTGTATGTAGCCAGCGCAAGGTGCGCACGGCCACTCGCGGTCTTGACTGCCACCTTCAAGGATGGGGAAACTTTGTGAGCTGGCCACGCAACAGTTTCGCGACCCTGTCGGAGCACTCTGTGCTCTTGCCATTATTTTGATCCTTGTGCTTGTTACTTGGTGGAGTACTGGCCTTTCAGTACCTCGACTTCCACCGCACACCGTGCTGATAAGCATAACGCAAAGACGAGGGACTACCGCTCCCACTATCGGTTCAGCAAGTGCTGTCAAGACAGCCGTTGGAGCGGGTTCAGAAGATGCTTGCCTTGCCGGAGTCTGGAGTCCCTCTGGCTTTGGAGTTGCCAGTCCCGTACCTGGGGCGCACTTCGCCGCTGAGCCCACACGGTCCTGCTTTTCCTACAGGCCTGCCTTGAGATGACATGGAGGTAGAGCATCACGAATCGTGATTAGCAAAGAGAGGAATGGGAGCCTGTCGGGACTCATCAACTACAGGGATGCCACACCATTGCCTCATTGCTGAGTACTCATCGGGCACGTGGTGGCCATATTGATGGCGCCAGCTCTTTAAGTGTCCTAGGCTACGCCGGTGCCTCCAAAACCTGCTCTCGTGTGTGTGTCGACGCAGTGTTGGATCATCGCGCGCTCTGGACCTCTCAGCAACATTCTGCGCTGCTTGCGGTGGTCGGCATCGCCACCAACCTCCTGACAGCGCGAGAGCCGCCAGCACCGAAATGCAAGTACCCAGCGGCCCAGCGTCGACATCGGTTCGATTGCTGCGGCCAACACTCAGCGTAAGCCACACCGAACTGCCTCTGATGGGGGGCTACAACGGGGCATGCACTTTATCGTGCTTCCGCCAGGCAAGAGTCGTTGGAGCGGTGAGCGACTAATTGAGCTTGTGCTGGCCCTTCTGGTTTCAGTTTATCACGTTAAAACTTAGAAAGCCTACAGACGCTTTCAGGGCTTCAAGCAAACCTAAACAAGCACCCTTGCAAGAAAAGCAAGCTCACAAAACACTCGGACAGTCCACTCTTTCAGCACGCACAGCTCACTGCTGGTCTCGTGTCTTGAGCCAAACGACAGTAGTCGTGGCACCTCTTAAAAGCTCCCAAGCGCTAAAAACAAGGGAAAACAAGTGAGGCCACAGCCAAAACTACAAGCACTGCTCAGACTACGTTCTACAGGCACTAACCACCTGAAACTACAAAGCTAACTACAAAGCTATACAGGAAAACTAACTTGTACCGAGGAAAACTCTGCGTCGCATCTCAGGGCTACTGGGCAGAGCACTGATCTTCTTCCGTGCGGCGAGAGAGGTCCGCGGCCTCTAGGCCCTTCCGGAGCTGTGCTCAACGGGTGGTGAAAAGGTGAAACAGGAAGACCTAGGCACCCGGGCTGTGCGAGTAGCTCGGCACAGAGAAAAACCCGGTGCCCTAAAAGGAAGGTTTCCTAACTACTCTGGGGAGAAACTCACCCTGGTCGTAGCTGTGAACTACTCTGGGGAGAAACTCACCCTGGTCGTAGCTGTGAACCTTTCGAGGGCACAGGTCTTTGGGCTTTGGGCACCTTTACTGCTGGTTGGCCCCACAGCAGTAAGAGGGAGGAACTCACCTCTTGGGCACGTCCAGGGCTGCATGCATTTGCAAAGTTTTCTGGGCTCTCTGTAAGGGTATAGCTGTGCCAATGCAGCTGGACCAAAGCCTCTCACAAAGCTGCAACAAGGAGGGAGAACCTCACCTCTCAGAAGCACTGATGGGGAGGGTGACCCCGGCCAGACCGCCGTCCACCAAAACGCCCTGAGCAGAAAGCCTAAAAGCATAGGCCTGGCACTCCGTGAGCAGGCGGGCGAAAGTGGCCGAGGGGTTTGACGCTGCCGTGGCACTAGCCAGCTAGACTGGAGGGGGCAAAAGCGGCGGGCGCAATCGCACCACCCAACCCATTTGGAGCTGACTTTCGAACCCTGACGCCAGGACAGGGTATCGAAGAAGACCGCCTCAGGGCAAGAAGCCGAGGCGGTACTTAAACGCACGCCCAGATTGCTGATGCCCGTATCCTGGGCTGTGATACCTAGGGCCGTCACATAGGTCAGCAGGCATCCTACATAGGCAAGGAAGTGGAAGGCGAGCGTCTCGCCTCTGGCTCCGCGGAGCTCGGAAGCCAAAAGCACTTTGTCCTGGCACGACATAAACATATCATGGGAGTGAACCACTTCCCCATTTTCCTTATGCAGTCGAACCTGAACGCGTTCTTGCCAATGCGTTCTTGCCGTTATTTTTGGCAATAGCTTTGCATACCTGACCTCTGGATACTGGGTAACCGTGCTCAGCTTCAAAAGCATATCCTCCGCTTCGAACACCATCTTATCCCCACCTCTTGCCAGAAACACAAGTCTTGTTCCACTAAGGCTTCCGGAGGGTCCTTCCTGCCATTCGAAAGCCAACTCCTTGGGCAGCGAAGACAGGATGTCTCTGGGGACTCCACGGATGGAAGCCAATCCGTGGAGGACAGCCGCCGCACATTGCGACTATCCGCACTAACCCCGGAAGGTTCACTGGCCTCGCGCTTTTTGACTCTTCTTTCCCATGGGGTCGGTGCTGGCATGCGGTTGCTGGAGCTAGGTGGCTCCTGCTCCGTCTCAGAATCAGTCTCCAGAGCTTTGGCATCCTGGGGGAGAAGCTCACCCCTGGGCGCCTTTTGCTGGACACTTTCCTGCGTCAGGGATTGACTGGACCGAGGGAGCAACTCACCTCTTTTTCTTGTGGCATAGCCTATGAGCTGCACATCTGCTCGTCTTTTCTCCCTGAGTGGTGTAGCCTCTTCTTGGCCTTCACTTTCCCGAGGGAGAACCTCACCTCGTTCCTTGAGCCTTACCGCGCTAGCCTCTGCCTCGCCTTCAAGATTTGCAGGAGTAGCCTCACCCCGTTCCACTAGACGGACACCTTGGCTTTCTGGCTCAGCACTCGCACCTCGCCTGTCACGGCTAGGTGGCGGCGGCGGAGGTGGAGGCTTGACCGCGGGTGGTCCGATATTGCGGGCATCGCTGGACGCAGCCTTAGCCGCGTGAAAAGCCGCAGACCTGGCTTTTGCACGTGAAACGCTTCCAGGGCTTTTCTTGGGCAAAGATTCGCTTTCACGTAGCGCATTGATCTGAGCAGCATGCATGATCTCCTCCGGGGATCTTTTGGACTTGAACTTGCCCTTGGTACTCTTAGTTTTCCCCCGCCCCTTGCCATCATCCATGGCTGGAGCAGCTCAGTCGAAGCCTTGCTACTGCGGAGTTTTACTGCCTTTAAAGAAGTGTAAAACTCTCTGAGCTCCAGACGACTGAGCACTGCTGTTCTTAGCTTTGACTTTAGCCTTTTTGCTACTGGCCCTAGTGCTTGCCTGGGTCTTGCCAACATGTTCCGCGAGAGCCCGTGGCTGAGAATCTCGAGCCAGTGCTGCACCTCGTTCGGTTTTAGAGCAGGCTTTAGCTTTGGGAGGGGAAAGCAGGGCTTGGAACTCACTAGCACTACAAGTCTTGTCCCCCGGAGGCTACAAGGTTTTATTTGTTGCCATATGGCAACGAGCCGAAGGCTTTAGGGTTAGGGAAGAGGAAAGGCAGCGAACCTGTGAAAGCAATCGGACAATGTTTTGGACCGCACAGCCCACACATG